ATGCAGTTGCCATGGAGAAATTAACTTGCTTATACTCTCAATTTAGTTATAAAACCATATAACAAGCAATAATTTTTTTATTTTAATAAAATTGTTATGCAGAGTCTACATATATTACTTATATATCTACATATGTAGATTAGAAACTTTCGGTCGGGTTCAGTTTAATTTTGATCGGGTTAGTTAATACATTGTTGAGTCATTTGATCAGCATGGACATGGTTTGATGGTATGATAATATTTTTACAGTTTCAATTTCTAAACTTTCCAGGAAAGTTTAATTCCTGCATTTTGTACAATGGCTATATATATGCCGTATATTTTCCCATGAATTTTTTTTTTGAAATTATATTTTTAAAATTCTGACAAGATTTCTGAGAAAATTTTTAACTGCCTAGGGTGAGATTTATGACAGTCTGAGACATTTTAAACCAAGTCTCTGAATAAATTAGATTTTGTTGACTTGTTTGCATTTATGCATTTATTTTTATTATAGTGTGTTCGGTACCACATAACATGCGAGAAAAAGATTTTTTTCATATAGAAAGGGACATGTACAACATCCATAATGGTAAGAAAAGATAATTATTTATAGTCATATTTATTTGTTTCTATAATGTTTCTTTCGATAACTTTTCACTCATATTGAAAAGCCAGCACTTGAGAACCTCTGTACTCAGGACCCTTGAGCAATGAGTAATTTTGTTCATGCCAGCACCTACTGCAACATGGGACCTCAGTTTCATTTGAACACTGGTCTCCACATCCTGCAGTGGGATTCGAACCTGTGATGTTAGGATCAACTCCTTTATCTGTGACTCTAAAGCAAACACTTAAACCACTGCGCCATGCAAGCAGCTAGTCATACATGTATTCCTTATGATGTGAGCTAGCATTATGAAAATTACATGTGCTGTAGATCATAGGTTGCTACATAGTTCTTTGTATGTTGTGCTAAAAAAATATGGTGTTCATCAATGATTCATTTTGGTGTGCATCCTGCATAAATTATGCACAAATTTTGCTCAGGACGCATTATTTTAATAAATGTGCATCCCAATGGATGCAATAAATTTATAGAAGAACGTGTATTATTTGGTATAATCCGGTTTTAAACTTGACCGATTGCATCATATCCATGTGCTAAGCGATATGCATGAACAATTTTAGCAGGTATGTATAAGGTTGCCAACAACAGGTCAGATTTCACAATTGCAACCAATTAACCAGCAATTATCAGAAAATATTTGAAAGTTAGATAACATAGTTCGATTATCACTGATTATGTCTATACTGTGGAACATTTCTGAAGCGAATACTATACCTTTGTAAAAGCTATACATGTAACCTGTATCATTTTTTTGTTTGTTTTTTCCTTACAAGCTAAGAAGTTTAAAATTTAATCATTTTTATTTCTGACTGTTTTTTTCATTTCTTCTTAAAAATTCTTTATTTCATTCTGCTTCTGTGCATTTTATGACTGATACATTACAATGTGTGAGATCGTATGTACGATCTAAAAATAGAACCAAAGTGCACAGTTGACAATATATTATATTTATGACACAAAATCATGTACTCTTACTTGGACAATTGATAGTAAAATTATAAAACTACTCACAGCAACAATAAAGCATTTGCTCTTTCGTGAAATAACTTTTTATATTTCACCAGAATTTCCTCTGTAATATCTAATATATGACCCTTGGATTTGGATGCTCCGATTTTGTCATGGGACTCATTGTTGTCATTAAGGGGGGTCCTTTGGACCCATGATAACCATTTTCAAAATGAATCACTGGTTCATAGGTCTGGGACTAAAAGTTTATGAGGACATACTATCTTAATATCACCCACCCATTATCATCTGATCAGCATGATCAGTACTATTAAGCAGGAAAACAAATATTTGAAGAGACATACTGTAAAAATAAATTTGTAAAATCTTGGAAAACATGTAATTTTGGAAGTAGATTGACATATAAGTATATAATTTTTTTTGTGGATAACAGTTGATTAGGGTAGGTGGTCACTGGTGTGATTTTGACCCATTATCTGATTATTTTTCATACTTAAGTTTTGTTCGAGTATATGTCAGTGTTTGTTATGCTACAACGTTTTCTGGGTAATTTTCTCTATGGAATACCTTTTTACAAGATTTCTTCTTTTTTTTTTGAATTATTAATTGAATTTGCGAAATACATGTGTTCGACTTACAAGATATATGTGTTGGATTATTTCTGGTTAGAACAATCTAACTTTGTCTCGGAACAAGCCCTCGATCACCACAGTTAGAATATGTCCCATATACTAGCAATGTAGCATATTGGAAAGGATCCGCTCAGAAATGAATACAAAAAAAATTGCACTGAAAATAACTATCAAATTAATCATAACAAACCTTTTTGAGATTTTATATGCCTTTTAACCTAAAAAATAATCCATAGAAATAAGTAAATTCAACTCATTTTCTCAACCTTTTTTCCTCGCTTCAAAGGACAAGGTATGGTAACGGCTGAGTCTGGCCCCTTATTTGATGTAAAAATCAGAACATAGTTAAAATAGTGATAGTTTGTAGTTAAGAACTAAAAATGATGCTTGTTTTAAAACCAGCACTAATTTTGATTCAAAGCTTACGCGGAGACCAGAAGAGGGTGCAGAAGTAGGACAGTTTCCTGAATTTTCTCAATTCTATTGGAATATTCTCAAATTTGAGATACTTTTCACTTTGGGAAACATAGAACACAAGCTTGCCTATCTGAGATTTTTATACATAAGATGCATCTGATACTAGTATATGAAATATATAAATTTGGTAGATAGGCAAGCTTGTGCTCTATGTTTTCTGAAACAAAATGTGCTGTAAAATCGATGAAAATTTGCATAAAATGAGAAAATTCGGAAATTGACATATTTTCTGATCTTCCTGTGACCTGTATGTATCACATAACTTAGAACCAATACTCATTTTCTGGCAGGGGTGACAACAGGTTTCTATTGATAAACTGTTGTATCATTCTAAACAACACCCCAAACCAGGGGCCAAAAAGGGGTCTTAGCCTATCTTGTCCTTTACACGCCATGTTGAATTCGGAACTCTCTGGATTGTTCATAGAAAATGCAGTCAGTTCGAGTTATCGAACTTGCTTCAGGGATAGACATTAACTTTCAGATTTACTTGCCCTTCGGGCAAGTGATCTCAAACTTTGAGTTGTCCGAATGCAAAACTTTGTTGCCCAAAATAAGGAAAGAACTTCAGAAGAATTTTTTTATCACTGTAAATGTGACCAAATACACTACTGTCAATTTGGCAAGGTGAGGTAAATTTGTACATAAATGTATATACCACTGTCCTTGTAAATATAACCTGTTAACACACACTGCCATATAGCAATAACCCTCCGTCTAATAAAATTCATATTTTTAAAAATTATTTTCGGTAGGATTCTTTTGTGAATCGTGATTTGCTGAGATAACTGTGAAACAACGCTGAAGGAAGATAGTTGCTACATCGATCTTTACTTTGATCAGGATACATCGTGTTACATGTACTGTACTTATATTCTGTGAGTGAATATAAATAATCTAATTTCCAAATAAGTTAACATTTTAGATGTTGGACGAACAGCACATTTACCAGGGAAAAAAACACAATAACGAACCTGATTTTCAAATGAAAGGTATAATCCAGAAATTGCGACAAGGAATTCCGAATGCAAAAACAATGTCAGTCAGTCAGTACCTGGCAGAAATCAAGTCTTCAATTTATTGTTTTTTTTACATAAATTAATGTGAACTAAATAAATATGTACATTTCTATGAGAAAAAAATCACTTGCCCGATTGGACAGGTACGTCGTAAGATTCACTTGCCCGAACTGAGAATTTACTTGTCCCGGGCAATCGGACAACCGTTAATGTCGATCCCTGTGCTTATTTTGATAAATTGCCAATACACGGAACGAATTCTATCTTTAAACCAGGTCCGTAGGACAATATCATTTTAATGATTAGAACATTCTAATCTAGGTTATTGAGATCACAGCAACAATATATAAACAAAATTAAAATTGAAATTATAATTCGCATCATCTCTTTTAAAAAAGAAAATATAAATTCATATTATTTTGTAAAACCAAAAAATATTGGTTTAAATATACTGACAATAAAAAAAAAGAGACAATAATTCTCAAATTATGAATAACTTTAAAACATTGAGTGCACCTACAAGCACAGATCCCATGATTTGTAATATAATGCACACACAGGCATGTAAACTGAAGTAAATCAAACATACAGATTTTCACTGATTAGCTAATATACATGTAGAACTAGTTTCAACTAAATACTCATACAAATACAAAAGAAAAAAATAATTATTTTCCAAGCAAATAAAATGAAGAAATTAAAAGTTTTTGATTTTATTTTGATTTAAAAATTATCAAAGAATATTTAAGTCGAACTTCATGAAAAAGAAAAGCTGAAATCAAAATATTTGTATCAATTTCAATGTCATGCTTGATAAATTTTGGAAATACTGACAGATACACCCTTGCATAACACATATACATGACTAAAATTGTAAATTTTAGAGACTTTGGACATGCATGGTGTCAAACTTTGTCTCATTTTAATATAAAATGAAAAAATTATAACCGATTAAAGGTATTGTGATCTGTATTGTAGCATAAATATTGTGATACCTAATATAGTATATTAGATATAGAATAGTAGACGAAAGTGTATTATCCCAGCCCTTTATATTTGCAGTGCAGTATAAAACAGTTCAATTATATAATAATGAAGTCAAGAGAATATGGACATGATTATATGTAAATTAATAGATTTTGTTTTCATTTTTGCAGGTGTGTCTGATGGAATTTGTCATTTCATTAATAAATAATGCTGATAAAGATGCAAACTTAGCAATTGTGCCTAAAAAGTGACAGCTTTGACAAGGAAATATATCCATATATAACAGTCACTGGTACCGTATGAATGCAGTGAAAGGATCCAGATGAACAGATGAAGAGATTAAGTACAATGTACATCAATTACTTGGATGAAGAGAATCTGCAACATGGGGTAAGGTATATTTGCTGCTTTATTAGTTATAAACTGTAAATAAATTGTTAGCAGAAAATAGACACAAAAGCTTTAATTAAAGCAAATCAGGGGTAAATACTAACTTTTAAAGCATGCAGATACTCAGTGATAGACTGATAGTTTGATAGTATCATAAAAACCAAAAGAACTTCAGTGACTTTGAATTCCTGATAGCCCTAGCTGTTAATGAACTAGTTGCCCATTACAGCCTTTGGCTGCTTATGGAGTCATGACGTGATTGTTGGGGGACGAGGAAATGAATTCCCAGTGGAGATGGGTATGAAGGTTAAAAATAGGGCCACAAAGAACCAGGTTATGGTGAGGCAGACTTGCCTCCTTACATTTTATTGTAATTATTTAACCATTCACTCTTTATGAGTGAAATAATTCTCGAATGGGACATAAAACAACACTCAATCAATCGGTCACACTTCACTCGCTGTTCACAGCACTTGTTGCTCTGTACTGGGCACTACTGGCTCACTTAAGCAGGTTAAGTTCAGTTTGGTGTTTACTAGTCATTCCAATGATAAATAAGTCTGAAGAACATTTTTTGTGAGTTGACTGCACAGCAGTGCAACACCTAGGGATCAATTTACCTGGCATCTGTCTGTCTGTCCATCTGTCACACCTTATATCTCAAGAATTGTAAGAGGTTTAATTGTTTTTGATATTTGGTTAATATTTTGCTTGGCACTGTGACTTTTTTTAAATACCATGGTTGCCAATCTTGTGACCCTTGAACTTACCTTTGACCTACTTATAAAAAAGTTTAAAGTGCCAATATTCAGCATATTTTTGATAATTTAAAAGAGGTAAGTCTATGCTATTAATAGCATGTGCACAATTTATCATAAATTATAATGAAAAATACCAGCATTATAGTTCACTTGACTTTGACCTTTGTTTTACTTTTCAAAAAATATTTTGAATGGTTAATTTAACTTAAATGTTTTGATTTTCTAGAAGTAGTGTTTTGATATTTAGCATTGATGAGCTCATGACACTCTACTTTGAAACTTTTTGATATCCAGTTATCACACAAACTAAAACTTAAATCCTATGAAAACAAATCGGGATCAGTATACCACAATGGGTGGTAATGTAGACTGACAATTGCAATAAAGACAGCCTGAAATCTCTTTAGAAAAAAACTGTTGAAAAGATTATTGACCATTATATGGTGACGTCTCTATTTTAGTGAAAAATTCTTAAACAGGATGTAAAACGACATACAATTAAACAATCAATCCAACTACTGAGTGAGCTTTCTAGCTTGTGAACTACCAATTATGTCCAATTGGAAGTAATATTTGAATGTTTTAAAATGTGATTGTACATTGTAGGAAATAATGTTCCTATAGAAAAGTCAAAGAATGTATACATGTGAGATTCTGAAGTAGCCGTACATGATGAGTAGGAATTTGAAGTGAATTATGGGAAAAGGTATGTAATCCATTAGTTTGCTTTAAAGTTAGTGATTTTAAATCTGAACACACTGTGTAAAAGGAATTTTTCCGCCATATTCCTTTATTCACGCTATATTGTAGGGTCCCTATATAAGCCACTCACTTAGTCACTGTTCAGTGTAATCTGTTGTCACCTGTCTGTATAGACAGACTGACGTATGCTACATAGCTCTGGGTAGCGACAAAAAATTACTGTGTACTTCTTTCACAGCAGGAGAGAAAGATGCCAATGAAACTTACAACAGTCGCACAGGTCAGTGCAGTATACAAACATACACAAGTACACGTAACTGCAATAAAATAAATAAACAAAGGCAATGCAAGATAACCAGCATGAGCATGTGTCACCATTCCACTCTGATACCTGTGACAATAAAGCAGTCAGGTGTAACAAATGCGAAGAGTATACCCTAGTGCTGATATAGTAGATGATATATAATCGAATATGGTGTATGCCTATTTATGAGATGTGTTCAGCTTTAATTGATTGCTTTTCTCTGACTATATGTACCATAGGTCATAGTCATTTATGGTATATACAGTGGCGCCATGTTTATCCGAACACTTCACCTTCCAGATGCTATTTTTCGGGAATAGATTTTTTCCATGTCATTCTGTCTCATTAATCCAGAAATTCGTGTTCCACATCCGAACGGTCGATTTCTACTACAAAATGTAATAGTTCATTGAAAAATGACTCTTTTATCCGGATGGTAATTTTTCAAGAAATGACTTTTTCCTGGAAATCCCACTAGCCCAGGGGCTACTGATTAGGAAAAAATTACTAGCCCAAATAAGAAACAGTTCAAAATTAATCAATATTATTTTAACAAACTTAAGCCAAAGAGGCGTCCGGATAAACAAGGCACCACTGTATATATCTATAATACATGTGTATAAATGTACTTGCTATTAACAGTGAGTACAGTAAAATTTTCCCATTAAGTATATTAATTTTTTCTATGTGGTTTACTTATGCCCAATTATCAGCAGTTTCCATAATTGCCATATTTAAGTATAAGAACTAGGTTGCTATAGCAGACAAAAGGTAAATATAAAAAATCTAAGTGCAAGGTACTTTATCACTGATTGAATGTTAATTAGGGCCTGCATGAAATGTTAAAGCTATATAGGATTCACATTGTCCATCTTTATGTCTTTCAGCCAGCAATTAACACTTCAGTTGTGACAAAATAAACAAGTTTTAGTTTATGCAGTGTAATACTATACACGGTATTGATGCATACAGTAAATGAGATCATTAGAATGGTGTATTTATATACTGTATATACTTGATATCAACAATTTTTCTCAGTGGTCTAATTTATGCCCAATTATAAGTGGTCCCCTCAATGGCCATTTTTAAGTATAACATATGTATAAGTACAGGTTGCTATAGCAGACAAAGGTAAATATAAAAATCTAAGTGCAAGGTACTTTATCGCTGATTGAATGTTAATTAGGGCCTGCATGAAATGATAAAGCTCTATAGGATTCACATATTGTCCATCTTTATGTCTTTCAGTCCAGCAACACTTCAGTTGTGACACAATAAATAAGTTTTAATTTGATATGCAGTATAATATAATACAGGGTATTGATGCATATAGTGAATAAGATCATTAGAATGGTATATTTATATACTGTATATACTTGATATCAAGGGTTAATTCAATTTACTCAATTTTTCTCACTGGTCTACTTTATGCCTAATTATAAGTGGTCTCCTCAATGGCCATATTTAAGTACATGTATAAGTACAGGTTACCATTGAAGACAAAAGGCATATACAAAACTCTAAAGACCATGATACTTTGATACTGACTGAATGCTGATCTGGACCCTTGAAAAGCACTTAGTCTTAGTCTTATTTATATGACAATGTGTGGTTTGATATAAGTTAACTGAATTACCTAGGTAACCATGGTAACATATTTCTATCTGTTTTTGGATGTTTTTGCATAAGCAAGGGCCTGGGTCATGCATAAACTTTTCACATTTTTCAACTTCTTCTCAAGAACTACTGGACAAGTTTAAACCAAACTTGTCACAAAGTATCTTTAGAATAAGGATGGCAATGATTAACTGGTTTATTAACTATTAAGAAAGATCATAACCAGTTAAAATTTTCATAACCAGTTTTGTAACCAGTTACAATTTACATACTAGCCACTTAGTAGATACAGTAGCTGCAACGTTATTGTTGACAAATTACACGAACGATCACGTTAGACGAACGATTCCGCACGATTCACACACGATAAAATCTGTTACACGAACGATCCTTCACACACACGATTCTACACGTTACACGATCTTACATGATTGCTAACGGAAACGCACGATTCTTCACGCAAAATAGTTCAAATTCTTTAGGAATGGATATTTTCAAAAAGAAATAAGGCTTAATACTTATTTTAGATTTCAAATAATGATTGATTTTATTTCATCAACTTTGAAAAATGAAAAAAAAAATAGAAATGGATATTTCTGGAACTAAATACATGTAAGATTTATGAATTATTTTAGATTACAAAAAATTATTTATGTAATTCTCTGACTTTAGAAAACTGATTTTTTTTTTTTCGTTCTATCAGAAGATGTACATTAAGGTGGACCGTGAGTTTTGATTGAATTGGATTTCATAATATGCAGAAAGGGACAAGTTTGAAAAAAATGGCATGAAAATGAATTAAATTATAAGTTATATCCACATTTCAATTTGTGAATCTCTAAAATCAACAATTATTTTACAAATCATTTATTTGCAGAAATTAAAAAAAATAATCAAAAGTAACCTCCAGAGATAACACTGATAAACGAAACCCTGAGAATCATGTCGTGTAAATGTACATTCACCGACTAAATACTTATGTAAGCATTGAGAATTATTTATTTGTAAAAATGTTTATTTTTGATCTATTGATTTTAAAAATATCTTGACCATAATTAGCAATAAATATAATTAACATCAGAGAAAAAAATCAAACATCTAAGTACGGTTTATCAGAAAAAAAATCATGCTATTTGACGAGAACACAATATTGTAGGACTTACTATATTGTTTATTTCCAAGCGATAATTAGTTCATTCTGTTTTTAGTTATGTAAATCGCACTTCATTTCTTTTTAATTTGGATTAAAAAAAAAAAAACAGACAAGTGAAATGCTTGTATAACAAAAACATTCCAATAAAAACTTACAAAACAAAATTTACACGTTTCTTAACGCACGATCACGCACCATTAAAACCGCAAACTATTGAGTCTGATACACGCACGATCTCGCACGTTACACGAATGATCACGCATGTTACACGAACGATTTTACACGATTCTTTTGTCAACAATAACGTTGCAGCCACTGTAGTAGGGATGGCAATCGAATACAGAATTGCAAATCGGTTAACGGTAAACCGCAAAATGTTCCGACCAATTAACCGGTTAATCATATCAAACTACACAATGTCATTTTTTTGACTTTTTTCAAGTACCTCTATTCCTATGCACAAGAAGTCTTTAAAAAAGTTGTTAGAGGTCAAAATCATTCTATTTGTCTTTCTTGGTCATAAAACTACGCGCATATTTTTTTTCAATAGTTAAAAAAAAATTCAGAAAACCATGAACCATGCCTGAGATATCGTGGATAATTTTCATGAGCGGATGTCACACAAGTTCATTCTTCATTATCACCATAATCAAAACTAAGTCTAAATTGTATCACTTAAGGGGAAGAAGGACCTTGAGCTGAAAAAATACTTGTCATTCAATTTTTTTCATATTTTGTATATTTCTAATTTAGTATGTCCCACATATCTTAAAGCAGTTATATCAGTAGGTTTCTGACCTTATTTTAGAGATATTGATTGACAAATACTATGCCCTGCAGTATCTAAGTGGAGTTTTAATTCTTCATGTTTCCGGGCCCAATACTCTGTCCATAATGGGATTTTTTAAGCATATATAAAAAACATGCAAGTGGACATGTATCTCTTAAAATATTTCAGAGTATGAATAGGTTTAAAATTCGAAAAAGCAATTTTATCCTGTCACACCGCATCTGGATAGGGAAAATTACGTACTTTTTGAGACAACTTAAGCAACAAAAAAAACATAATTTACAAAAAATTCTATCATTCAATATTTTAAAATTTATGTTGAAATGCAAGTCCTTCAAATTATTGGTTAACTGTAAAAATTATGAATGGTGAAGCTGACCTCAATATTGCACAGGACATCATTACAGAGGACATAAGCATGACAAAAATGTGTCATATTTACATTTCTTGAGTACGGGAAAAACCAACTTCACACGTAAGCTAAATAAGCGAAATAAGATATGCCTACATAAGATTTCTGTCATCAGCCATGCAATCATAATTTTTATGTTCCCCGTTTCTCAAAATTTTTCATCACATACTGATTATGACCTGATCTTACAAAATAATACCACCCCTGTATTCACCGAGTATGATCTTGCTGTACTAATAGATCGTGTATGACGTCACCGACTTGTTGGACTTGCAGTTTAGGGAAACAGAGGAGTGGATCAATCTTTTTCATAATTTGTTAATGTTTATATGAATGTTAAAACTTTTTACTTTTTTATATAAGATGGCAATTTAAGTTAAAAAAAAAATGTCAAAAAATTATACAAGAACTGACGCTTTACACGTTTTGGACTTATATAAACGGAGATTATGATGTAGATAAAAAGAGTCATGTGACCATGTGTCCTTCATCCCCTTAATTTACAATGTTTGTATTATAATCTAATGTGATAGATAACTGCAAAAGATACACACACACCAATTCATGGTACTCAACAGTGATTATTATCATTAAAGAATTAGAGGACAGTTGGGGTAACGACATGATGTTTTAACAGTATACATATCTCAGACTGACCAATTACCCCGCAATTTTAATCTGGAGAGCCATAATGACCTCCCAATCAGCCTAAATAAATAAATGAAAATGCTAAATTAAATGTTTAGGTAGGAATTTCTATTTTGAAAATGAATTTTACATTGCCTTCAGTTTTACATATATTATAATTTTTTTTACGACTAATCGATTGCAGATTTTCTAATCGATTGCCATCGTTCCAACCGAGTAATCAGTTAACCGGTTAGAAATTGCCATCCCTAGTAAATACTTTTTGTCAATGAGTATTTGTATTTACTTTTTCAATAATATTTTCATTTTTTGAAATAAAACTTGTAACATGTTTCAAACTGAAATGTGACAATCAAGCAGTTACCATATCTTGCCGAATATAATATGCATTGGTTTAAATATGCACCCCCTTTTTCAGCCTGATAACTTGGGGAAAATTGCAGCTCGGTTGTAAAGATTATTTGCTACAAAATCTTATTTCGTACAGGGCACAAGTTATTTAATCATTAAGATTTTAACAGACTTGAAATTTCTTTGACAATAACTTAAAGATAAATCACTTGACATATGTGTTGCAATCAACACACACCCAAAGCTTAAAAATATGAAGAACGAAGGTTATAAATCGACCTCTCAAATATGAAACAGGGCTCTCAATTGTCTATAACTGGGGCCGTTCAAGAGCCCCACTCACAATTCAAAAAAAGGTGCCTTTTTTCCCAATAAATGTGTTAATTTTCCCAATAGTAATTTCTCCCAAAAATTAAAGAAAATATAGCTGGATATATACCGGTAATAACTTAACTTGCTATTCATATTCCTCTGTTTTATAAAACAAATTTAGTTGATAACGAAGACCGGAAACCCAATATATATGATTTTAAAGTACGTATAATGGTTATTCCAAAATTTCCTAAAAGGTCTTTATTTTCCCAATCTTCCCAAAAAGCAGTGTGAAAATGAAAACAATTATATGTACAGCAAATAAGAAGTGCCCTATCTTGTCAAAAATGTGATTGGAATAGATAGACCATTTCTTTATCCAGGTGAATATCATTACCGCTACATTTTCAAAATGGTAATTATTTACCGCTACATACTCATTACCGCTGTAAAAAATGTACACATTACCACTACATTTAAAAGTTTACATTACGAATACATTGCCTCTTTCATTAGCCAATGGATTATGCATGTACAGATTGATACAAAGTACATGTACAACATATCCAAGCATAAGACCTTTTTCCACTGCTCACCATGGGAGACAAAAGTAGGGCTTAACAGGGTGGCTTTTTCCCACTTTTTTATTAGTCCCCTACCGGTGAAACCAGAGGGAATTATAGGTTTCCTCTGAGTCTGTCCATCTGTCTGTCTGTCCCTCTTTCAGTCTGTCCCATTTGTTTTCTGCACTTTTTTCTAAACGCTTGCAGATATTGAGCTGAGTTTTGGTTTGTAAGTGTATCTTGATGAGTTACAGTTCAAGTTTGCATTTTGTTATGCTTCTTAATCAATGATTTTTAATGGAATTGTGGCAATTCAACTTTTAGTGGGAACCAGATTACACTTGCAGGTAGGGGACTAGTATTGCTAATGCAATACTCTCAAAATGCTTGTTTAATCTTAATTATAGTAGGTATTTAAGTATGCAAGTACAATACTGTACATATAAATGCTTGTTCAAAATAAAGTTTTTCTCGTAATTTCAGCCCAATGCAACAGAAACTAAAAATTCAAGAACCTATTGGTAATTAATCTGATGTTTTTTAAATAGATTGATCGAAAGTACATGCAATATAATTCATACTATATAAAGGTGCAGTGTTTAATTGATTTGTTACAAAAAAGAGCAATGACCATATCACCAATGCTAATGTAGTGGTAAATATTTTTAATATTTAATAAGTTCCACGTTTTTTTTTTTCACGGTGAAATGGTAAAAAAGAAACTGCTAGCGCTACTGTGCAGACTACCATCAATCAACATGATCAACAAAATCAAGTAATCCTTCTGAGTAAGTGACCTGTAGTATTATCTGTTTTCACCTAGGCCAATATGAGAAGGATGAAAGTTATTATACTCAATACACAAGTTTGGAGATTGTAGCTCTTCAACAAGAGAAACACAAAAAGAAGCCATATCCGCATGAAAGTGGCAGAGATTGTTGATAAAGTATACACAATCATGATTAAATAAATGTCAAAATGATGGCTTAATTAGGGCCTTTTAAAATGTAATTAATATTAAAGAAAGATTATACATGCATATTATGTCAAGCAATGATGATTTTGGTGATCATATTGAGCTATACTTTAGTAATACAGGTTTTTGGATGCTTGAGTCTCTGATTGACAATATATATGTAGTTTTTGGAGACCAGGTCTTCCAGTAACCTGTCAGAATTCCCATGGGTACCAATTGCAACCTGTTGTTAGGCTAGCAGACCTCTTTTTATATTCATATGAAGCAGAATTTATTCAAAATCTTACATATGAGAAGAAGAAAACACTTGCTGTGGTCTTGAACTCGACAGTGAGATATATCGATGATATATTATCAATTAACAATAGTTATTTCCATTCATATGTCAACTATATATATTATACCCCAGTGAGCTTGAAATAAAAGATACCACAGAGTCTGACACATCTGTTTCATGTTTGGATATTATTTATTTCCATCCCTAATTAAAATTTTATAAATTGATTATGTACATGTAATATTAAATGCATGTTTCTTGGAAAGTAATGTTTTAAGTGTTTCCTTACTACTATTAAGGATTTTCATGGTATATCAGATTCTTGTTTATTATCCTTTTCTAAGTGTTACTTTTCTCTAAGCAGTAAACAGGCAGTTGTATCATTAATGATAGGTGGAGACACATATCAAGTTACCTACAGTTACAGCCAAGGTTTTAATGAAGAATCATCTGGAGTCTGGCAGTGAGAGTGACAGTCGGCAGTGGATACTCACTCCTCTAAGGCACCTGATCCCACCTCGGATGTTTTTGAGGTAGAGGTTGCACTGCTCAAATCATAATTTGAATGGACTTTTGAGCTTAAATACTATTCGTTGTCTCCATATTTCGTTTTATAAAATCTAGTTTTAATTAGGATGATTGAAAACAAATGAATCATCAATCCCTTTGAGAGAAGACACTTCCTAGATTGTACAAATTTATTCTAAAAAAAAATAGTGGAATCTTTAAAATTATTACGAGGGGAAAGAGTCAGTGTTTCATTTAGAATCCTGACGTGCAGTGATCAGATGCCTATATATTAGAGATCCATTTTTCTTTCTTCGTATTATTATAAGATTTTTCCAGTGTGTTTTTTTTCCAGATATTTTTGGTATTTATTATTTAAATTTTGAGCTGATTAGTGCATCCAAATAAACAGTTATAGACCAGTATATTGAACATGTCCTACTAGCAGGTTTATGAAATATATGGAGATAACAAACAGTATTAAAGCTCAAAAGTTCGTTCAAACAATACAATTCAGGAGCAGAACAATACGGACCTCTAAAACATCAGAGGTGGGATCAGGTGCCATGGAGGAGTGACCATCCCCTGCTGACCAGTCACACGCGCGGTGTGCTTCCTGTCATGATCCGGGAAAAATTAGAAAAATCTGTATGCAATTCAGTGTGTAAATAATGGCCTGGAAATTAGATTTAAAACGTCAATCAGCACTTGACTTAATGATAGATTGTATTTTCTGACAAGCAACAAGGTCATTGTATCGACCATATAACTATTGTAATGATGACTTTAAACAAGACTGATGATATTCTTGTTTCATCAACTTGTTTGTCAATAACTTACTTTGTTTTAGAAATTGTTCATAGGTAGAGCATGCTCTTGCGTATCGAATCAACAGAGAGATATGAACCCTGTATGCAGGTGATGAGGGTATATTGCTGCATAAGTAAGGGAAGTTAATGATTGAAAAGTTAGTCATAAAGGTTTGTTGTTAGGTTACCATTAACCTCTTTTTATAGAAAATTATCTAAAATATGAAACAGATGTGTCAGACTCCAGGGATAGACTTTAACTTTCATATTCACTTGTTCTTTGGGACAACAAATTTTGACTTGTCCAAATGCAAAACTTGGTTGCCCAAACCTTAGAAAGAAGAAAATATGGGTAATTTATGTGCAATAAAGTACTTTCTATTGGCAAGTTAACTGCCAAGAAAAAATGTTGATGTGTCAGTTATCCTACAATTGTAAATTCTGTACATGTATACCACTGTCCTTTCATTTATCCTGAAAACTTGCACTGCCATGCAGCAGTATATATTTTCTTTAAAATAAAATTCATATTTTAAATATATATATATATATATATATATATTATTTTGATTTTTTTCTCTGGAAAACTGAGGCCACACTAAAGGAAAACAGTTGTTATGTTTTGAAACATACATATCCTGATCAGAATACATTGTTTGCCGAGAATAACTGGTGTTCTCTGAGTGAAAAAACAAACTATTCTTGTTTAAGAAATTATTTTTTTGATATGTTCTTGGCAGAAAGTGTTATTGTTTTGTTTAAAACTAATGCAAGATATGAAAAAAAAAAAAGTTTTTATCTGAAATATTCACTTGCCCAATCGGACAAGTACATTGGCATTTTCACTTGCCTTAACTGGGAATTAACTTGCCCCGGGCAATCGGACAACGGTTAATGTCGATCCCTGGACTCTGTGGTATCTTTAAATTATCAAGCTCATTGGGATAATTGTGTTGAAATATGAATGGAAATAATTAATATCGTAAAGTCACGTGTATCGGACGCACTTTTTTTTCAGAAAAATTGTTCAAAAGTGTGGGTGCGTGCATTACATAGGAACTAAATTCAACCCCTTTTTCTGGACATTTTTTCTTAACTCTTATGAGTGATTTTTACTGTTACCACTTTGTAAGTTTATTACATATTATTCCCCAATTCTTGAATGATAGTCACGTATGACAGTTCGCTGATAAATAAATCAACAAACAGAAATATAAAAAGATATTTCCATTAAAATATTATTCAAAATTAAATATATATATATATGTATATTTAAAATAAATTATCTTTTTCTAATTTGGATATCATCACTGCCAAATTTAACTCCTCTCGACCCTAATGTAGGTCATATTTGTTTATATAACAATTTCCGGCCATTTGGTTTTGAAACAACTGCCATTTTAAACAATACACTTGTAATCAGTAAAGTTTATTTAATGATAAATATTTTACACACCTTTTTAGTTACCTGGTATCACTTGTATACATAAGTGTGACATTAATTACGCTTGGGATGATTTGTTTACGTAAACACAGACACCTGCTTGGAATGCATTTTCAGCACAATATTGTAAAATGCTTAGGGTTATAGGGGAAAAAAATACAGGACTTAATTTTTAATTTATACCAATCAAATAACAATTAAAATACAGACTATACTTAAATACTTATAAATAAAGCTTATATGTAAATTGAATTTTCCAAGAAAATTAGAAGTTGTATCCTACTTTCGTTTTTGAAATAATATGAATATTTTAACTTTTTAAACTTTTTCTTTGGAATAGTTGTGCTGTGAAAATAAGAGATACATCCGCATTTTTGGGGTAGCGTTTTATCCATAGGAACTGCATTTTTCTCAGGATTTTCCCCCCAAATTTGGGGGTGTGTCTATTACAAGACTACGGCCTTTACACCTGACAATATGGTACTTCGTCAATATATCTAAATGTTAAAGGCGACAGCATGTATTTTCTTCTTCTCATGTATAAGATTTTAAATAAATTCTGCTTTGTATGAATACAAAAATAGGTTTGATAATAACGGAGCACAATTGGTACCTATGGAAATTCCAAGAGATTTTTGGAAGACCTTGTCTCTAAAAACCACATAGATATTGTCAATCAGAAACTCAAGAATCTTTTTAATATCAACTTCAGAGTACTTGTGTGTACAATCAGTGTTTTTTACAAATAATTTTGCAAATGACCAATGACAAGATAAGTTAGTTTTTGAGTTCCACTTTTAATGAAAAAGCAGCTGTCAATAAACAAATCTCTCATCCATACAAAAAACAAAAGAGCATACCAAGGGTGATAATCTCAAAACTTAAGCATTGATCTGTTTGAAATAATTTTTTTTATTAACATACGTTTAAGGATAAACAACAATACTTGATATCGCGATTACTTAAATTAGCGGAACTCTTTCACGGAGGTAGGAAACGTCTGTTGGATGGGGGCAGTGTACTATTGAATGCAATGCATGATCGATCATTGTGGAATTTATAAGGACTGATAAGAAAGAAATCCTAGAGAAATATCTTGCTAAACATGCGCTGAACCAGCCTAATAAATTTTTGAGAGGAGCTAATCCTGTATGTTGCATTTTTTACGATACTTTTTACTAAGCGGACTTTTCTTATTAAATTCTAAATGAAAATCGTTACTTTTGAAAGTTGATAAAATACTCTAAACTTTCCTTACTTGACAAATCTACTATTTGGAGTTCAACTCTTGGCAATACATTGTAGTTTCGGCATAACGATTGTTCGAATCATTCCATTGTCACCACTGTAATGTTATGCCCCAGAAATCTTGTGAGATTTAGAGCTTCCTTGACTCCCATGCTAATTAAAGAGCGGTTTTAAGTTAGATAATTGCGAGATACTCGCAATACTACGTATTGCACAATACTGGTACTTTTAATTCAATTCACATGTGCTCACCTTTAAAATGCATTCACAATTCTTTATAAAGTTGGTGACATTATGTATGAAAATATAAAGTCTAGTTACATGTTTAAAGTATGCTTGTGGTACATGTATGCATTTTTTTTTCTTGAACAGTAAAGGAAGGG